TTTAGGTTTCGGTTGACCGGCGGTAAGGAGAAGGGTTATGGTGAAAATTGGTGATGGTTAAGCGGAGGTTGGATGATGACGATGATGGTGGTGGGGGCAGTGGGTCCCACAAAACGGCGCCGTATTGTGTTTGTTTGACGGCAAAAACGGAGACGGAGGAGGGGCCGGCGACGTCAAGGCGGGGGCCTTATCATTATTATTTAAATCGGATTTGTTGTCACAGTGAAAGGTCCAAATTACCCTCTCCGGTAAACGACCCAGCAACCCAGATTCAAATCGGATTTCCTAATAAATTGAGGGGAAAAAAAACCCTTTGTCTTCAAATTGTGAATCATACAAAGAGTACTGTAATTTCTGGTGTCATCCATGGCTTCCTTCTGAATTTGAGGACACAAGACGGTAATTTTAGCTATCTTTCAATACTTTCGTGTTGATAATGTTCATTTTCTTGCGTTAATTTGTTTGTTTTTACTGCCCCTTTATTGGATTTTCAGGGTTTTTGGGTTCTCAAAATTTTCAACTTTCCTACTTGAAATTTTTGGCTTGATCTTTTGGGTATCCATGATTCTCATGAATCGTGTAAAGGATCCTTAGTTTTGGCTTAGAAAAGACTCAATTTTTATTATATTCATCATATAGAAACTTATATTAGTGTATTATACTATTATTGAGAGCTGCCATGGATTTCACGGGCTTATATATCTGTGTTTCTACATAATCATGTGTGTGTTTTTATGTATGTGTGTATGTGTTGCTGTCTACAAATTTGTATATCTTGTAGGCTCTTACTCTGATTAGCTTCGTCTCTTGACAATTGTTATATATTACTTGCAATCCACTTGTGAGTGATTCTCAGCTCATTTTTGTTGCTCCACTCTTGTGTATGTTCTGTTGACATCAACCGTGCCATTCTCTCTGTCGTTACTTTTTAACTGTGTTATATTTTTCAGCACTGTAGAATAAAAAAAATGTCTGCCTATGAAAATGTCGTGGGAGGGAAGCTGAAGCTTAAGGGTAAGGCTCTGGATGTGAAGGCGGGTGGGATGAAGAAGAAGAAGAAGCAAAAGAAGCAATTCGAGCAAATTTCCCAGGCTGTTGAAAGTGAGTTTTTTTATTTTTATTTTTTTTTTCTGCATTTCTGTAGTACTTTTTTTTTTCCGAAACGATAGAAGATATTATAAATCAAAAAGCACAAATGTGCGAATACACAGCAGCCAACGTCTGAATACACAGCAGCCAACAGCTGAAAAAGTGGGAGGACAGGTCTGAAGACCGCCTAGGGAGCTTTTAATTTGTTTTTTCTCTCTGAATTTCAACGCAACCCAATCCTTTTTTGTGTTGTGAACACGACATACGTATTTTGTGCAATACGGCAATATCATTTTCTCTATTTTGTTCTTGTTATGGGAATCCTGTTTGCTAGCTAACTTCCATCCATGGGCTTGTTATTTGCAGTTTTTATGGAAGCGAATCAATTCGGACATATGATTTAGCATTGTCTGTCTATTGTTGAGATGTTATTTATCTTATTATCCCAGGCCTGCAACCTCCAATACCTAACTTTCTTTCTTCTTAATGTTGTTTGTTGCTTGGTATATTATGAACAGAATACATAAAGATGGGCACTTATGCATACCATATGCAAATTTTGAGAATTCTAATATATTTGTCGAATTATGTTTCAGTTGAACTCTGCCAATACATTTTGCTGGCCTGCATCTGAATATTCTTCTACGTGCACATTTTAAACTTGTTTTCTGTCAGCAATTGCTGTTTGGACAGTTTGAGGATATCTCAAAACAAGTCTGGATATTACGAAATCCCGCTTTACACATGCTTTTATTCTATAATAATGCGAATCCCACTTTCTCGGTTTTTTGTAAAGATATTATCTCTTGTTTATTTATAACTTCACTTGATGTATGAAGGTGAGAATGCGGAGCAGTTAACCGAGTTTAACAAAGAAGAGGCTTTGGAAGCTAATGACAAACTCAATGGGGATGAGAGTTCCGCTAACTGGGACAACAATCTAACTCCTGCTGAGAGACGCTACATGGAACAAAGGGAGAAAATCAACTCTCAAAAACTGGCAAAGACATCAAACAAATCACACCGTGATCGTATTCAGGATTTTAATCAGTATCTTGCTAATATGAGCGAGCACTATGACATTCCTAAAGTTGGCCCTGGCTAAGTAAAGAAGCTCATGGTCTCTCTCTCTCTCTCTCTCTCTCTCTCTCTAGTATTGTTCGCATAACCGATGTTTTCTTGCCCTGTTGCCTTTTCTTACACTGGACCTGTGGATCTATTTCCCTTGGGATTTATGTTGTGATCATGTTCTTACACTTTGTTATGGCAATTGAGTTTGATGAAGCTGTGAATGTTCATTTATGTTATGAAGTTCTTGTAGTGATTGGTATGGCTCTCATTCAAGATTTCTTTTCTCCATCCATTGATTTTCTTTGTAACTTTCACCAGATAAAGATTGGGGAGCTCTCAAATCGACTGGTTTTGAGTGCTTTTTGTTGTCTAGAATCTTGCAGTGTCAATACAAACAGTAGTTTTGGAAATGCAAGTTACCCGGCACATCTGAAAATGCATATTTCGGTGGAATTAATATCATACCAGCATAACCAGTTTATGAATTTACTACTACTATTGATAAATGATAATCAATTTCAAGTCGAGCATTTGCGTGGATCAAATTAGCCTCCTGTGCCTAAATTCATCGATTATCGGGTACAAGAATACACAAATCTAGCATATAGAAACAAGACGTCCCCAAGAAGAATCGAAACACACAATGTATGCTGGAACTTGTTGAATTCTGGCCGAATTTATAGTCTCAAGGACTTAAATACGGTCTTTATATAAACACAACGGGTCTCAATTTGTGCTCGTACAATTTATTATTTCGACAAGAATGTGCATAAAAATATCACCCAACCAATGCCACCCTTATTACTCACAAAAAATCATTGGGTGCATTAACCAAATACATAAGAAAAATATGGCTACACAAATAAAGGACAAATATAGCTGCTTTTGCTCGAAGCCAGAATTGCCCTCGCCCAACAATAACCACAGCGTCACTCTCTATCAAAGCCTCACGACAAACTACCATGCCTTGCCACATTCTTCATCGAGATGGGAGAATAATTTAAGCCGCCAATTTAGGAGAATGGTATATCATAGTAATAATCATCCAAATATTCCTCATCGAGTTTCATCCTCAAGATTGCGGAAGCCGGCTGTTAAATCGTCATAAAGCTTCTTAAATTTGGCAACCAGAACATCCTCTCCTTCAGCCGGATCCTCGAATTTCTGTGAACTGCATCATTCAAAGAGAGTATCGGAATTCATGATTATCTTTCACAAAAACAAGTTTACTAGGAAATTTATGGATAAAGTTCAGGTCCTTTGGTTAATGAAAATTTCACTTACACCAAGCGGTAAAACAAATCTCCGAGACGATGCTTGATAAGGGTGTATGTTATTTTCTGTCCATCCATACCAGCGCCCCGCTCCACAGCCTGAGCAAAAAATGACGTTAAAAATGAACACTTTAAGTCGGGCACATGATTTTAGACATCGAATCTGTAAAGACAGAATTTTAATACGTAATATGATATGTGCCAAAAAAAAAAGAAAAAAAGAAAAAAAAAACAATAAGAAAAGGAGAAAAGAGAGATGTGCTGATTTCTCTACCTGATTAGCCAAATTGTAGAAATGGATGATGTTACGCATCATCCAAATTGACTTATAAAACGGGCAAAATTTATCATACCTGCCAAAATAGCACACGTTCTTAAATTCAACCACCTGAATGAATATGAAACTTCAAGATTGTTGG